CCCACTTCCTCTCCCCTGCCTTTCCCATTCCCCCCTCATCTGCTTCTCCCCATTTGCTGTCCCCACAATCTCCATGAAGGTGGAACTTTATGTGTACCTCGGGATCCACCTGTCCGACCTAGTTTATAACCCCCCACGGACACACACGTTCTCCCTCCAGCATCTCAGGCGGGGTGCTCTGCAGAGGGCCAGCCACTGCTGGCGGATCTGCCCCACCTGCTCTGTTGCGTTTTGGGAGCAGCACCTAGTGCAGAGGTGAAAATGTCGCTTTTGAGAAATTTCTCTGGAGAGGCAGAGGTGTAGTGCGTGAGTGGCTCCTGAAGTGACAAGGCCAGACTCTCTTAAGGAAATGTCTGGTACCTGCCACTTCCAGAATTTTCACCTCTGGGGTAGATGTTCAAGGTCTTGGTCTCTCGCAGACCCGTTTCTTCCTCTGGTTTCTTCCTGCCCCCAGGGGTTAAACCCTGTATCAGGGCTAAGCCGTTTTCACTAAGTACTGATATGAGGGACGAGTTTGAGTCTCCTCGCCTATTGCATCAGATGGCAGCTTTACCAAGAAGAAATCTCAGAGCACTGGAGAGCAAGGAATGACAGAATCTTCTGAAATATGTCCCCACCTGGCTGCGGACGGGGCATGAGGGTTTTACCTTCCCAAGTTATGTGCTCTCGACCCTGTTCAAGTTGGCTGGTGTTTTCCCGAATCGATATTAAACATTATTTAATACAATTATATTTACATGGGCATCTTTTAGATTTATGAAGAAGAATAATTGTTTTGCTTAGAAGACCCTGAATGACTTCGATTTGATCTTTCTACAGCTGGCATGTCAGAAGCCATCCATCCCCCGTCACCTGCCTCTGTCCCTTTCACACTAATCAAATCATTCTCCTTCTGCCAATTTGACTCAAGTCGAAGCCCCTGGGATACCAAGTAAATAGCATCCTCCCTCCGGTGGAGAGGGCACTTAATTCTTGACCGAAGTTTGTGACCGAGCAGCTGGTCTACCTCTTCCGGGGTGTAGGTTCCACTGATTGCTTGAGTGAGGAGCAGGATGGAGGTGACAGGTCTGGAAAGACATCTTTAATTGGCAAGGCCGAACGCTTTAACGTCCGAGGTTCATCCCCAGTCTCACGGCTCCGTGCTGGCTCTGCCGTAAGGTGACTGAATCTGCACGAGCCGCAGGGGTGGAGGGGGTCTGTTATTTATTTTTCAAACAGGATTTATACGAATGCTGTGGAAGAACATTCCGCAGACATGCCTTTGTTTGTGAAATCGTTGCTAATCACAACTCTCTAGAACGGTCTCTTACCTTTTTTCATTCGTCACAGTGAAGATGACTTTGGGGACCTGGGGAAGAGGACATGTCATTTTGCCTAGAATCACAGAATCATAACGTTTAAGACTTGGAAGAGATTCCAGTCTGCATTTTAAAAGAGGCAGGAAAATAAAGATCTCTAATGAGAGATAAGGAAGTTAAAAGAGAGAGAGAGAGATACGTCTTAGTAAATTGTTGTCATAGTTTCTATTAATGCTATGAATGATATTTCTATCTGTGCCCATGAACTTCTATTAAGATAGGCAGGCTCTTGTGTGTACATTCCTTTTCTTTGTAGTCACAACTGAGTCTTGCATACAGCTTGCAACTTAGAGACGTCAGTGTTGAATGTCATTATCAACGTTTTTATTTATTAATTCCAAATCTTACCTAACTGAACTCAGGGCCTTCCACCTTGCATATCATGTTCTATTACCTATTCTAAAATCTAGTGCATAAATATCTGAAAACGAAGGCGAGAACTCAGCAAGTGATTAAAATACCAATTCACTTTCTTTGCATTTTGAATGCCGGCTTCGACATCCAAAAGAAAGCAACGTAGGAGGCACATAAACTGTTTGAAATGCAAAGTAAGAATTGGAGAAATCGGTCATCAGTGTTTCGGGATTCTAAGCGTGTGTCGCGAGCCTGCGCCTTTCCTGCTCGTGTGAATTCCCTGCCTACGGTTTGCATGTTGTAGGTTCCGTTCTTACCGGGACAGGCCCATAGTTGAGGATAACGGGCTTAACGGAAAGCGTTCGG